GTGCTTGCACGGAAAAAAATGGATTGCTGTTTAAACAATTAAAATGTTAAAAAATATGGTCGAAACGTTTCAAATGTACATTTCACTTTAGTGGAAAGCTCATTTCACCACCCCCAAGGTTAAAGTAGCATTTTTCTATCGTAAAATCTATATTGAAACGTGTCGGAAAATTTTTTAACCACAAAATTGTTCAATCAGCAATGTCATTCTTTTCCGTGTAGGACCCGAGTTTTAGGTCCCATGGAGCTCTAAAGTCTCCAGATCTTGCATTCGAAAAATTGAGGTCTAGTTGCCGAAGTTTGGGTCACACATCCAAAGTCCTTCCATTAACCTCCAGCCTAACTACCCGAACTTCGGCAGCTGGACCGCAAGTTTTCGAAAATACGACCCGGAAACTTCAGAGATGCTTTTGACTTGAGCTATAGGTCTTATGTACGAAGTTTGTCTTTCTCGATTTAACGTTCCGAAGACGAATTCCTCCTGAAAAAATGGCAAAACCGACATCATGGGTAGTGGGTGCATGCGAGCAAGTCATTACCATCCGAGCGGACTGAGATGCCGGCTTGGCGGAGACGACGGCAGTGGCGGACTGGACACTGCTGGGCTACTTGGCTGGAAACCCAGTCAGGCTTGAATTGGGGGAGTCTTAACTCTGGACGTCACTGGACGTCGCGTCGGGTTTGAGGAAGTCACTCCTCGCCCCGCACTCGGTGGCTCCGGAACCCGCCTCGCGTGATCACATGTTATGCGTGTCAGTGTACCCGTACCTCCGTCAGGGCCAATGTCGGCTCCAATCCTAGTGCAAGGCGACTCGACTATATACGACCCGTGCGTTGAAGTCACTCACAATCACGTCGACGCTCCACTTATTTCAGGGCGCATCGGCGACGCTAGGGGGTCTGAGAGGTGAATATTGAAACACTGAAAACAAAGTTACGGGCTAAATAGACGTACCGTTCGTTCCAGACACAGAAACCGAAAGTCTCAGGTGCTGGAACCGTAGTATCGACTGCTCCGGATGCTACGCCCAGAAATTTCGGCCTCTGAGCCCGGAACGCGAACGGTATATACCTATCAGTGGCGTGGCGTGAATGATCGATTATCGAAACTTCCTCATTTGATGAAGCTATGGTAAAGAATCGATTATTAAGGCGTTTGCTGCGAACACCCTGTTTATCGATCCTAAGCCGTGAGTTTAAATAGCAGATCAATCGATACATCTTAAAGCACGCCACGCCAATGATGTCTATATAGCCCGTAAGTACGGCTTCCATGGCTGGAGTATTTTTTTTTCCACTGTAGGCAAAGTTATAGATAAAGGTGACAAAAGGAAAATGGAGGGATCCTGTTGGTAGAAGCGGGTGGTTTTAATGAGCAAAGGACTGGCTAATGATCTGATTTTAAGTCGTGGACTAACGAACAGCAACTGGCGGGAGACCCAACAGTTCGCTCGTCATTTTCTCTCTTAACTCTGTAAGCACCACCTGTTTCAATCTATAGGATCTCTCCATTTCCCTTTTGTCTCCTTTGTCTATGGCTTTGTCTATCAATTTTTATAATTAGCCTGCAGAAGTTCTGGCTCCTTCCCTCTCGAAATCTACTTGATCCTCCTGTGATGTGCCTCTCTGTGTGACGACCCCTTTGGACACACTAGATGTTAAAATCAGCAAATTAAGGTTTTACAATGAAAAGTCTAATATTCTCATCTCTACGATGTGCCATTTTTAAATATTTTAATTTTTCCTCTCGCAGAAGGGAATGGTTAAACTTCATAACCAAGTTATTTTTGTAAAACGATGAGCTAAATGAAAATAAACCCACGATAAAAATTACGGAACAAGCAGTAAAATTACTAAACCGTTACGTTAGCGCGATGGGGCAAATCTTCGGTGATGATATCACAGTTTTAAAAAAGCAGGGCTTTACGTACAAAGGGACAATTAACTGTTTACATTCATGATGCGAGTCTCGTGTAAAAAAGACGGTTTTTACACTGGAAATCCATTACAGATAGGCGGCTTTCGGTCAGCAGGGCAGTGCATTCCAGTTGTGCTCATTAATTGGCGTGTGAATTTTTTTTTAGAACAATATACGCATTAGCATCATAATATGATGCTAATTCAGTTGCGTGAACGAGGGCAATATGCTCTAAACGCAGTTACACGCTTCAGCTACGACTGGGAATGACGCCCAGTTAGAATCTCAGTTATGATTTGCGGTCACCGACGCGAAAGTGTTGCGTTTAGCGCACGCGTGCTCCCCCCTCCCCCTCCCACCGATTGATGTGTCCCCATTTCTCCATCTCTCCTACCTGTCACCCTAGGCTTTGTTTTGAAAATCAAAAATATTGGCGAATCATATTACATTTTTTGGGCTCTGCGACCGATTCGAATGAGAATAATACACAAAAATAGCCGGAGTGGTTCAATTAAAAATACGAATAAAATGGGTAACCAAGGCTGAAAGAGATGAGCCCGCTGTAATCAGATTTTGGAAATGTACTACCTTGGGCCTTGGGGGATACTAACTTGGGTTTTTTTTTTTCATATAAGTGTAGATCAGGAAGCTTAGAATGGGGGACAAAATTGAACAAAGCGCGACAGAGCACAGGGGAGAATTTCATGAGCCGCCCTGTGCCGTCCGCAGCAGCGTGCATGTGCCATCTTTCATTATTACACTTCATCAAGCGTTGAGAGTTCTCTTAATACTTCACACGGCCAGTGTGTAATTTTAAAAGTCGAAAATTTGAAAAAAAAAAAAAAAAAAAATCTAGCGATTTACGAGTTTCTCCGCCAGGGAGCTCTCCCAGCGAGAAATCTTTCACCACGCGCCCGCCGTGAGCGCCGCGGCGTGCCTCCAGCGCGAAACGCGCACTGACACCTACAAACCTACGGGGATACTACACGCATTGTGCAATGCTTGAAGTATCCCCTTAGGTTTGTAGGCGTCAGAGCAGATTCAAACTGGCAGCGGCAACACGCCGCGCCGCAGCGTGCCATACGCATTGTGCAATGCTTGAAGGCATCCCCTTAGGTTTGTAGGCCTCAGTGCGCGTTTCAAGCTGGCAGCGGCAGCACGCCGCGCTGCAGCGCCCACAAAATTTTGCTCACAATTAGTATGTCCGAGTTTTTTAAATCTGGGCAATTTGACATCAAATTCGAAATTAGCGACTCAAAAACCATTGGTGACGAAACTTTCGTGATCTTTCAGTGATCATCCGACTTACTTCTTCCTGTTCTTGAGTTTTGGACCACATTGTGCCGCGGGCGGCGGCTCATGAAGTTCTCCTCTGCGCTCAACCGAACAAAGCGGGAAATGTTGAATGTTGGTCTGTCAGTAGGGTAAATTAAGTGATTCGAAGGTACGCTCTTTTGCAACAGACTATGTATCCAAAAGAGACGAAACGATCCATTCCGTTTGTTCCGTTACGTTCAAGTCTTGGCGTGAAGTTTGAAATAAATGACGATTTTATTCTTTCGATTATTTTTAGTCCAATCGCTCCCAGCCATAGGGAGATATGAAAAATGAGAGTCGGGTATGAATATCTTTTCATTTTTTTTTTTTTTTGGTCGTTCTGTTGTCGAAAAGGGCCTAAGGGAGCGCGAAGCGCCCCCTGGGGGTTGGGCCGCGTAGCGGCCATGGGGCGTACCCCTCGGTTATTATATATGCATTCCCGCCATTTGTCAATGAAGTTGTTGAAAAAGTCAAATAATTTGAACAACAGTAATGTCGCTGAAGTCAGGGAAGATCAGGGTAAATTCAAGGAATTTGAAATTGCACCGATCCTATAATCTTGGTCTGGGGTATACCTGATGATTAGATTTTTCGTAATGCAATATTGTCCCCGCTTTCGTAAGGAACACAGAGAGAGGATACAAATTGAGTGATAATTAGTGTAAAAAGTGGATGAAAGTGATTTTCCATCCTCCTCTTACAAAAATATGCTACAAGTCGGGAGGATCCATTCTAGTCAGTGTAGTTGAGAGTAAATTATTAGTTTCGGTTCGATCTTGAAACACATACTTCATCAATGCACCGAAGATGAGCTCGGGCAGCCGTGCCACCATTTATTAAAAAATTCTTTCAATTCTGAGGAATTTTTCCCATATCTTTAAGTACTTTGCTCCTCTCCGAGATGACAAGATAACTCTTGGAGTGCCCCACCGCGGCAAGTCCTCGCGGGGCAATTAATCCTGCAAACTGCATTTTTTATCTTTCATTTGTATCGCGCAATGTCACCGCATACGCGGGCAGACTTCATCTTGTTTGTGTTCTCGGAATAACGAGGCTCGTTCGTAAATAGGCTGTGCGCTGTGCCTGAATACTAAACTGAGGTGAGAATTATATTGATAATGTGCCCAAGGCTGACAAGAAAGTTAAATTTATTTAAACTAATGGAAAATTGAAAATTTCCGCTAAAAAATATAAAATTCAAAAAGCTGCTTTCATCAAAAGATGAAACTTTCATATTCCATTAGCTGGTATGCAACCCGCACTGAAACCACCTTATAGTGTAGAGACCATTAATTCTTTTTTCGTTCACTCAATTTTGGAATGTCCTCTTATTCCTCTCATGTCTGGACTAAAAACACTAAAAGGCAGGACGTTTCTAGCTGTTACCAGCTCATTTCTAGCTGCAAAAAAACACAAAAAACAAGTGAAAAATTTAGTGGCGACCTGACCCCAGCCGTCGTGCTTTATCGTTTTCTTTTTTTTCCTTTTTATCTTTTTTATTTTTTTTTTTTATTTTTATTACCAGCATGTTTTTTTGAATGGTTACGTGATAACGGCGGGGGTCAGGTCGCCACTCAATTTTTTACTTGTTTTTTGTGTTTTCTTGCAGCTGAAAATGAGCTGGTAACAGCTCGAAACGTCCTGCCTTTTAGTGTTTTCAATGTTTTAGCCTTGTTCACTCATGTTTCAATTCTCTCCTTCTTTAGTCGTTGCTGCTCTCCTCGATACCGCGGCAATATTGATTTCTTTTCGATTTGTGTTTCCAGTTTCAGCGAAAGCGAGCCTGTGCCTGCCGGACGTGTCTGAGGTGGAGGTCTCGACGGGCCCGCACTTCGGGGGCCGGATCTCCGTGGAGCCGGTCGGCGGGAAGGAGGACCCCTCGAAGGAGGACCTGTGCGCCATCAAAGGCGAGGCGGACAGCGCCCGCGACTCCTACATCCTGCGCATCGACCACAAGCTCTGCGGGAGCAAGGTCAACCGCACCACCGTCCAGACGTTCATCCTCGTCCAGGAGAACCTCCCCATCCTCACGCACAGCACGCGCCGCTTCCTCGTCCTCTGCACCTTCCAGCCGGAGACCCTCACCGTCAGGGCCGGGTAAGCTGTCGCTCTGTCTTCCAGATTCCAGGTTCCAGATGTCATGCTCCGCGCATGTCGTGTGTCGTGTCCTTCTCGCAGCGCTTCTGTCTATTGCCGGACTGTAGCCTCGAGTTACTTTGTGCTCGTTCATTGGACAAGACAAGACTAAGGAAGAATGGAGGAATGTGATAGGAAATTAAAATGTGAAGGCTATACAGTCATAATTTCCGTTCCGGACTCATAGACCGAAAGTTCAGGGTGCTGGAGCCGTAGCTTCGATTGCTCCGGGCGCTACACCCGGAATTTTTGGCTTCTAAGCCCGGAACGCGGACGGTATGTCTATATAGCCCGTATGTACGGCTTCAACGGCCGGAGGTTTTTTGTTTTTTTTTTTGGTGGGTTCAATAGGTGAATTTCCGCGAGTTACTTTGGTCGAATTCTTTCATTCATGAAAAATTTTGGATGTGGTCGTCATTGCTGCCAACATGACATCGAATATTTTAGGCGAATCGTCGCTCTGAGGGGTTCTCGTTTTGTTGCAAGGGAGGTTGGCAGTGAATAAAAAAGTTAACCAAAACCACTTGCAGAAATTCGCCTATAGGTATGACAAAGAGGATGACTGTTTAAGCCGACCAATCACGTGATTCCATTTTTCCTCAGGCTTGTCTCCCAGACAAACACAACATTTTAACAATCAGGCTGGAATTTAAAAAAAAGGCATAGCTGCAGATGTAAAATAAAATTTCTATCCGCTTGAGAATGCTTCAGCAAATATGTAAAAAAGTGTGCGAGAACTCACAAAACACTGAATTAACTGCCACCGTAGTTAGTTTTACATGTTGACATTGCTAAAGTAACTGCAGCGGTTAATTCAGCGTTTTGTGAGTTTTCGCACATTTTTTTACTCGCACATCCGGATGGTTAAATCAACATCAATTTTTTTTTCGATGAAGTCATACACAAAACTTGGTTGAGACTGCGATGTGCTGTTGATGCGGTTTGGAATGTGCTGAAGGAGTTATCTTTGATGGTACCTCAAAAAAGTCCTGGGAGGCTGGGAGAACTTTGAAAATATTGGCTTTGTACATCTGAATGGAGATGTTGCATGTGTAAGGAATTTGCGAATTGCCTGCTGATTCTTTTGTAAAAGTTCGCGAGAAACACGATGGTGCCACTGGTTTTCACCGAAATCAACTCCCAAGCTCAAAAAAAGCTCTCAACTTGAGGCCAAAATGGAGGGGAATTCCCACGCTATCCTGAGAGTCCACCTCTACATCAAAACAAACTCTCCGTGCAAAGATAGGGAGCAAATACATTGACAGGGCTGCCACTTTATTTGGGGCTCTAAAACTGAAAACACGGCATCATTGCTAATGTATTCGCTCCCTATCTTTGCATGAAGAGTTTGTTTTGATGTAGAGGTGGACTCTCAGGATAGCGTGGGATATCCCCTCCATTTTGGCCTCTACTTGAGAGCTTTTTCTGAGCTTGGGAGTTGATTTCAGAGAAAACCAGTGGCACCATCGTGTTTCTCGCAAACTTTTACGTTGGAATCAACAGTCAAATCGCAAATTCCTCACACATGCAACCTCTTCATTCACTCTTGAATTCCTTCTGAGCAGCTTGGCATCACAGCTATTCTCTATAGCAGCTAATGCGGCTCATGATAGCTGCCTGGGCGTTCACTCATGGGGCGCAGCCGTAATTACCTAAAGACAGGTAACCGCAAATGCACGACCAACATACAGTCAGTACAAACAGCAACATGTTTTAAGCCTAACTTTTGATTAGCCCAGCACATGCGTACATTAAAGAATCGTGCGGAACAATAGACACTACAGGTGAAGTCAGTGAGTCTAACTCTGGTGCAGATGTAAAGACGTGTATCACTTGGACTAAATTTTACAATTGGAAACAACTATTTTTGGCTCATTTTACAGCCAACATATCGATGGTCATAATGAAAAACCACGTCACGTCATTGAGCTGTTTGAAAATTTCCGCTCCGATTTTATTTTTTAGAGACATAAACAAGCCAATTTTATAACTTGAAATGTATCCTGCTAGCAGGAATGAAAAATTTAGGAGATTTTCGAGAAATTACACGTCTACTGGTTTTCTAAACATAAAATGGATCGCACTAAGCAAAAAGGAACCAGCGCGATCACAGAGTTTTTAAAATCGTGCAAACCCTTTTTTTCTTTTAAAAATAGTTAACCTAGATGTTTGTCATACCATCATCATGTAACGCTGTGCTGGTTTCCTTTGATTTTAGATTCTTTTTTATTTCACTTTACTGTTTTTAGCGGTTGATAATGATGTCGCGAGACGTCGAAACGTCGAAACGTCCCGAATAATTTTTTGTATTTTAGCCTTGTCTCCGCTGTTTCCTTGTTTTCCCTGGTAAAAATTGGCGATAAGAGCTGCGTTTCAAAATACCATAGAAATTTTTACAGCCGGCTAAAGAAGGCTACAGAAAATCATATAGCTGGCTGTAGAATGCGGAGAAGATCATACGGCCGGGCTATACGAAGCGATAAAAAATTATGCAGCCGGGCTATAGTTCCTATCGCCGGGCTCTACACTTTATCGCTTGGCTGTTGCTTTTTCGCCATCGATTATAAAAGGCTATAAGAAATTGTGTAGAAATTCGTGTGCTTTGGAAATCATTAAGTTTGATACGGAACCACCTTAATATTTACAAAACACACGTTATATTTTCCTTTAATACATATTTTTTTTCATCAATTAAAATGANAGCTGGCTGTAGAATGCGGAGAAAATCATACGGCCGGGCTATACGAAGCGATAAAAAATTATGCAGCCGGGCTATAGTTTCTGTCGCCGGGCCTTACACTTTATCGCCTGGCTGTTGCTTTTTCGCCATCGATTATAAAAGGCTATAAGAAATTGTGTAGAAATTCGTGTGCTTTGGAAATCATTAAGTTTGATACGGAACCACCTTAATATTTACAAAACACACGTTATATTTTCCTTTAATACATATTTTTTTTCATCAATTAAAATGAGAATAATCCACAGAGGACGTGCAAACATTTCAAAATCATGAGTTGAATAACGCCGACTCCGCCAGATTAATTATTAGATCCTAACACAAAGCGGAGCGGCGACGCACTGGCGCCTACAAACCTAACAGGGATACTGCACGCATTGCGCAACGCGTGAAGTATCCCAGTTAGGTTTGTAGGCGCCAATGCGTGTTTCGCGCTAGTTGCCCGCCTGCCACGGCCCTTGAAGCAACTATTTCACACCAGAGGTCTTGCACAGTATCATACGAAACTGAAGGCGCTCTAATATATTAGTAATGGCAGGTATCCATCAAAAGTACGGAGCTTTCCTCGCAAAAT